ACCGGGGTGTTAACAGCATGCTTGCAAATGCCAGAAAACAACTGTTTTGGCCTGAATTGGATACAAGTATTCAGCAGACTAGAGCACAATACTGAACTTGTAATGAAATGACTCCAACACAGCCTAAGGAACCCATGATGACAACGTCAAATCTCAAATTCCTATTCCAGAAAACAGTAACAGACTTCTTCAACCTGAACGGAAAAATGTACATGATATATGCAGATCAGTACAAGCGTGGGTGAAAGTGGCTTTAATGTCCCCTGGAAAGGCCAGAGCAACATACAACACTCTCTAGAATTGGTTCTGCACATATGGTGCAGCAAGAGAAATCTCGTTCGATGGAGGACCACCATTCAAATCACAGGAATATAACTCATTCTTCAACAATTGAGAGATAAAGAAACACACATCATCAGTGTACTACATGCAGAGTAATAGTCGAACAGAAACGGCTGTCAAAACAGCCAAGTGAATATTGACAAACACTGACAACCATGGCCACCTATCCCATGATTGAGTAGCAAAGACTCTACTAACCCACCGTAATACCCCTGTTCAGGACCTGGTCATGTCTCTAGAAATGATACTATATAGTCATGCTATAAAAGATCATCTCCCAGTCCTGCAGGATAAATACCAAATCCATAAGTGGTGGAGGCAAATCAGCCAATTAAAGGAGATGCAATGGCCAAAAGACACATGAAGAATGAACAATTCTACAGCACACACAGTCATCCACTTCAGGAGCTAGTAGTTGGGGAATCAGTTCAGATACAGAACCAAGACGACCCTTGTCCACGTTGAGGGATAAAAACTGTGCAAGTCATGGAGGTGCTAGGCAACAGACAGTAACATGTGCGAATTGATGGGAGCAAGCAGGTAACCATATGCAACTGTCACTTCCCCCAAAAGATAAAAGAAGCCCTGTACTGCCTCACACCAGAGTTAGTCTCACTTATACCAAACAGATTGGACTCATCAAAGAGGTTCTGGACCCCTACATCAACAACTCGAGGACTGGCCCATATCCGTCGGCATTGGTTTGAATGCCAAACTACCATTCATGCAACACCAAGCTGAACTCCCATATACCACACCAGAAGAGGTGGAGTACATGGGTGAATTGGAGATGGAAATGAATGAAAGCAAACACACAAGATAACCGCCACCAAACCATAGCTATCACAGTCACCAAGGACACTGTCTCTACAGGTGCGAGGTCCGTCACATGAATACTCAAGGAGATCCCTACAACTAACCCCAAACCAGATGTCTTGTGGTCTCAAAAGGCCGGCGGGGGCATATGGAGTAGGACAGGAGGTACTGTCTTGCATGAGGAACTGTCCTAGAGGGTACACCAGCAACAGAGCCAGACAAGTTATCTGCCCTTTCCACATGGACTGGTAGGCAAATATAAATGGCAGTCATTTGGGACAGTGGTGGCTGGTCTAACTGCAGACATTATACACAGACATTACAAAAAAGAAGGATGTTAAATGTTATAAAATTAATTAGGGAAACAAAAGGCAAGAAGTTGTGGATCGAACACAGCCTAAAAAGATATGGCATATTTTTTATTAATCATTTCAGCCCAAGAAAGGCAATAAATCAACTAAGACACCAGCAGGGTTACTAAATATGAAAGAATATAAGAATAAAAAAAATATTATTAAGGAACAAGAACAATAAAAGAAGAGAAATCAAGAAGACAGTAGATAACAATTGATATTACATTTAAATTTGTGAAGAGCAAAGTTGGCTGGAAAGCAAGAGAGTTCCACAGGTGAGATGTGCAAAGAAACTTTTAGCAAAGAACTTATGGTTGCATCTAGCCAATTCACCTGTAAAATGATGACACCTTGCTGCCAATCCATGCTTAAATTCCAGAACAATTACCATGAAGGTATTTATAGAAATGGCAGAGAGAAATGACGTTATGGCAGATGGAAGTGATTAAAGCCAGGATGCCAGGTCAGGACCAATAAAAAAATTTACAGGTACCATATATAGGGCAGACAAGTTCATTGTTATGGACTTGCAATGTTCCTACATAGAACCTTGTAAATATTCACACAGAGTAGGATAAATTAATAAATAATATTATAGTTTATTTCTACAGTAGCAACTGTGATAGAGAGACCATAAAGGGGCCAAGACAATAAATAAAATTACAGTTCATTTGTACAGCAGTAAAGGAAATCAGATAAAGACAGATCATAAAATTGCTGGCATGCTTTTTAGTAGTAAATTTCAGAATTTCAACTAAGAGATTGTGGACCAATAATCAGGAACTGAAAAGATACCAAAGCTGTTTTAGACAAGCTTATCGATTGTAGCATTGGGACAATTTAAATAACATTTGCAATAGTCCTTGATCAAAAATGCCTCCATCTTCATGAAAGTGTGTCAAAATGAGAATATGTTCTTTTTGACCTTTTCAAGCTGCAGGTAAAACAAAAAAGATTAGCTTCAAGAAATCCGTTTCCTTACAGAAACTTTACATGGAGCCAACACCAATTCTCTTCATAGACTGAGAACAAAAACAAATGAATGTTGAATACACCAGTGAAGATCTTTTTGTTAAAGTTTCAAAGCCAAGCACTGACAACATTTTTTCTTGTCTTTTTTTTTCTTTTATGATACACTGAATTACCCAGACGAGTGTCCTCATTTTGTTTGTCATAGTCTCAGTATTTTGGCCATTGTAATTTCTAACATTCTTCAAGTGGCTGTTGCAGTTAACAAGCTTCCAGGAGTTACTTACCTGCTGTAGGTGAATACCTATGCAGAGCAGTTTCAAAAAATATTAAGCCAATGACCCAGAGTGCCTTTCCTCCAGGCAGTACTTCTCCTTTGGGTTTATTGCTTGACAAAAGGGGAAGTGCTGAGAGGCTTTTTCCAAGGTATTGCCGTTAAACCCACTTTAAACTGACCTTGTGTTACATTCAGTAGGGACATGGGAACACTGAAAAATACCTTTTATTCAACCCAAGGATTGTTTTTCTTTCATTGTCAATGCTGGAAGATCGATTAATTCTTCCCAGTTGATCCGTGTCATTGCTCATTTTTTCAACTGAACCAAACAAAGTATATGGGATATTTATTTATTTTGCATGATCCAGGACAGGGATTGAACACATGACCACAAGTTAACTAGATCTGCTTAAGCAAGACTTTTCTTCACTATGACAGACACCTGAAGAAAGCTGAAGTGTATAAGTACTGAAACGTTGTGTCAATAACAACCAAGATGAAGAGACTAACCCAAATATATCGGTGTCTATTTCTGTGAGACACATGGATAAAAGTGTTGGTTATACAGATCTTGTTACTTTGTAATGGGGTGTTCAGTCCCTAGATTGGATAGTTTAAAATTATATGTACACTCTGGTTTAACAGAAAAAAAAGCAACAGCACAATGAAAATATTAAACTATTAATGCTCACCATAAAATAATTTGTTTATATATATATATATATATATATATGGTAATGATTATAACTTTCTGAAAGATCCAATGTTAGTTATAGATTTCTAAAAAAAATAATCCATTATTAAATATAACAATCACTGAAGTTAAGCAACGTTGAGCCTGGTGAGTATCTACATGGGTGACTGCAAGGGAATACCAGGCACTGTAAGCTTGGATGTGCAGGTGGTGTAATGGATCGTTAATTGGAGAGCCAAGTTCCAATTTCAGTTGGGTTCATTATATTCATTTACATAATTGGGGAAGGTAAAAATCTACCTATTCTCCCTCCAGCTACGGGTTAATTAATAAGTCTTTTATCACTAAATCATTATTGTCTCCCAAAAAATAAATAAAAATTCTTACAATCAAAAAATATTTTTTGGCTTTGAATAACCTGTGAAAAGGTTGATAAGCCATAAAAGAACAAATTAATCAATTAAACCATTATTAAATATAGGTTTCTAAAAGAAAAAAAGAATCTGATATTGATTATAGGAGGCTTATGGCCATATCATACTTAAACACTGGTTCTCACATGATCACTAAGCTTAACCAATGTCAAGCCTGGTCAGCACCAAGACGGGTGACCACTTGGAAATACCAGGTGTTGTAAGCTTGAACGTCCATGTTGTGCAATGGATAATGGCTTGAAATTAGAAATCGGTGAGCCAAGTTCCAATTCCAGTCAGGTTCATTATATTCGCTTATGAGCATGTATCCTTGGGAAGTGTATGAATCCACCTCTTCTCCCGCAGCTATGGGATAATTAGTATGAATTGTATAAATAAATCATTATCATCTCAAAAAAAAAAGTTCTTACAATCTAAAATATTTTCTGGCTTTAAAAAACCTGAAAGATTGCGAAGTCATAAACAAATCTAGAGAATGCATAATTATAGGGTCCTAAAAAAAACAAAAAAAAAAGCTGGCATCATTAAAACAGGAAACTGAAGTCCATTACTAAAAAAATCGGTTACTTGTTATAGGCTTTTAAAAATAAAAAAAATTTGGTATTAATTATGGGATTAAAAAAAATGGTCATAATTATAGGTTTCTACCAATAACATTTTAATTCTCAGCATCCCCAAAATAAGATGGCGAATCTTAATAGGTAAACTAGAAAGAATTAACTAATAGTTTTTCTCTTGGCACAGACAGAAGAATGTGAACAAGCTTTTCCAATGGATTGAATAAGGAGCCTGGTTTAAAATTCCCAAACTATTGCCAAATATGATATTCCCCTGGAACAGGCCAGAGACTTCAATGATATCTGAAATGCCTGTAACAACCAAGATGAGGATCATAGTCTGAATGAACCAGTGCATATAATATTGATAATTCCTTATCTCAAAAATTCAGACAAAACATTTTGTGTTGCTTCTCTAGATTGCTTTCTTTCTCTCTTGTTGACATTACATTTCTTTCTTTTTTGACATCCACCATTATTACAAGTGATCCTTCCTTTGGAAGGAATATTCTGTCCCATCTACTACACGAAACCAAAAAGTTGGACAGCTGTTTCAGTTCATATAAACGGAGATGACTTTTTCTGACTGAGGCTACTTATGTCATCTGTGCCGTTCTTATAATACATTACCGTGTCTAGCGAATTAAGTGGGTAAGTCTCCTTGTCTTGCCGTTCTATATCTATTATGTCACTGATGGGTGATATACGTGGGCTTGGACGAGTGTACTTGACATTGTTTAGAATGCTGACTGTCTTACTTGTAAACCATTCTGTAAATGTTTCTTCTTTGGGACGTTGCTGGATCACCTGAAAAGTAGAGCACAAAGTGACAAAAATAAAAAGAGAACAAATTTTAAGAATTCGTAGCATGATTCATTTCAGAAACCCTGAATTAATACTAGATATTGCAAGCCATGAAAGAAGTCAGTCAGTTATAGATACACGCTTAGCCGATCATGTATCTTTCAATAGATGACTGATGAGGCAGATTTTTTTCATGCAGTAGGTTGCCATTTCTTTCTGTGGTAGATCAGTTGCCATCCAAAGCGACAGAACCCGGTCTGTGCTGCTATTTACCCATAGCTTGGGAGAAAAAGAGGATTCATATCTTTCCCAAGAGTATTAGCACATAATTGAATATCAGTTCAGTTATATGCCATGCATGATACACGCATATAGGCAACCATGTATCTTTCAATACATGTTCTGACTAGGCAGATTTTTTCCCTGCAGTAGGTTGCCATTTCTTTCTGCGGTAGACCAGTTGCCATCCAAGGCTATAGAACCCGGTCTGTCCTGCCATTAACCTATAGCTAACCTTTCCCATATTAGCTGGGGGTATGATACACCTAAAAAAGGGACTACATACCATATAAATTTGGTACAAGGGGGAAGATAGTAGAGATTATTGAATCCAGAATATAATTTAGATTTGATTATGCAGGAACAGTCTTCCCAAGAATATACCAAACTAACTGTAAATATTGGCTTCTTTGTTTCAATACATTTTGTTATTATTCCATGTTATTTAAGCTTCAACAGCATGTATCCAATATAATAGATTTGACTGGGATTCAAACTTGGCCATTCCAATAAGTTTATCCATTACTCCACCATAGTTTATATAAACAAGTATATAAATTTAAAATTTATAATATGATTCTTTGGTAATGTTTAACCTTCATGCCTGCTAAAAAAATGTTGTGCCAAAAAAATAGTTATTCACTTGACACTGCTATTACTGCATACACTTTTGATTTTTGAGTTTAAAACCCAATATTAACATGAATTTTGAGCTATCTCATCATCAGAAAATTAAAACTTATCACAAAATATTTAATGACTTGTGTTTACTTCTAGTTTCAAAATAGATGTTTTGAGACAACTTAGCCAAAAAAAAAACCTTTAATCAATCAATTTTGACACAAGACCATATATTTAAAGCATCCAAATAAACTCAGTGATAGGTTGTGACTATCTCAGAAACTCATGCTCTATGGCAAAGTGTTTACTATTTGATTCAATCAATGACTTAGCATTACTACTGTAGTGAGTTTGACCTGCACTGAACGTCCTAGTGTTATACCAAGTTGTAACTTAATGAATATCAATCATACTAATAGATAAGTCATAGAGTAGTTTACCTGTGTAATAACAGCTTTAAATATACCAGTCACCTCATTAAGGTGTGGCATGCGCAACAAGGCATCCCGAAAGAGTTTGATGATTCTGCTACATTCTTCTGGTTGGACTTGTTGGCAAATCAAAACGAGCTGGGAGTGTTCCACTGGTGGAATTTGGAATGAGCGGGTGCTGTTACTGACCAACCAGCTGTAGTCGACACCTGTCTGTTGCCGTCGTTCTTTTTGCTCTAATTCCCAGTAGTGAAGTTCCAATTCCTGTGGCAGAATTTATTTTGAGATGGAGACAGCCATTTGGGAGATAGAATGATGAATGAAAAAGAAGACAAGAGAACAAAAGGACTGGATATTGGAAATTAAAGACAAAAACATTTGGAAGATTTAAAACTTAAACTGACACAGGAACATTAAAATATATATATTCCGAGTGTAACAACAAAATTGTCCAAATCGTGTAACAGCAAAATTGTCCAATTGTTAGATTAAGCTATGAATTGTTGTAGCTTAGAAATGATTAAAGATATCTTACTGGAATTTTCCGAGGTTTTTATAACATTATTGGACTATACTTTGAGCAATAAGAATGTATAATTACTCTCCAAGCTTAACAGAAGAATCATGATGAAACCAATCATAAATGAAAATGTCATGTTCATCATTAATTAATCATAGCTAAGGATCAGAAGTTCATGAAGTATTGAAATAAAGTTCAAATATATATATATCATTCCAGGCTCATTTTCCAACTTATTCAAGATGATCTTTGCCCTCTCTAGCCATCTAACTTTCTGTCCTGGAGTAACAAGGTGCCTCATAGGTTTCAGATACAATTTCATTTTCAATTTTTTTTTCGTTGCTCTTTGGATGATCATAACCAAAACTCCTTTCTCACATGACAAATGTCTTATGAATTGAGTTGGATCTTTTCTAATTGATCTCTTTAGCTCTAAGTTGAAATGATGGTCCCTCTTCCTGTTGTCACCTCCTGATTCAGTTTTTCTTTCTACTGTTCCTTTTTTTCAGACAGAGAATGAATGTTGATACCATTAGTGAAGGCTTTAATGATCTTTTTCCTCTCACCATTGCTCAGTTGAGAAGACAGTGGGGCTATTAAAATGATTAACTCAAAGGGTTTTTTAGTGATTCTTACGAAAAAAAAAATATCTGCATTTGTGTGGACATTGTTACTTCTTGGGAAGTATTTTGTTGAAATATAATAAAGCTTATCTGAATAAGGTTTAGAAAGTATGACTCAACATATTTGTTGCTTCGTAGCACAAAAAGACATGTCACAATGTTATTGCTTATATCGAAATACAAAATACGTAGACCAGATACACCTTTCAGATTTCGTTTTCATAACCTCCAGATATATGTAAATAAAAATAAGTATATATGTAAATAAAAATAAGTATATATGTAAATAAAATAAGTATATATGTAAATAATATGTATATATGTAAAAATAATAATATATATATAAATAATAATAATATGTAATAATATGTATATATGTAAATAAAAATAAGTATATATGTATGTAAGTATATATGTAAATAATATGTATATATGTAAATAATAATAATATGTATATATGTAAATAATAATATGTATATATGTAAATAAAAATAAGTATATATGTAGATAAAAATAAGTATATATGTAGATAAAAATATGTATATATGTAGATAAAAATATGTATATATGTAGATAAAAATATGTATATATGTAGATAATATGTATATATGTAAATAAAAATTATCTTTGTGAACTGAAAGCAGGTTTTGATCAATTTCTCAGTCAATGCTCTTAAAGTGGTTGATCTAAAAAAATAAAGGCTCATTTTAAAAAATAGAGGATCACTGTGACAGGAATTTTATTTTAGTACCTACCAAATGACCAAATATAACTTTGGCCATGAACCTAATTTGCATGTAATAAGCAAACAGTAACTATGGAGTCATCTTGATGCATAAAATTTGATCAACAATGTTAGAAGTGTCCTTGCTGTGTAATCAGACAACTTTACCAGTTTTATGAGAAATTCAAACAATAAGAAATCAGGTTCTACATGGGGTTACTGAAACAAAGGCATTGAACAGCGATGTGAATTCTAGCCAGATGTTCAGTCATTGAGGACCTGGGGCTGGTTACTGTGTAGTCTACAGTGGATGGTAATGCCTTCATCAGGTAATCCTACATGACACTTGTAGGTCTTAGTGAGGGCCATTCTTCTTTGAACATTGTGGACTGGCACAACAGAATCACAAACAAAGAACTGTACCAAATAACAGAAACCACATTACTTGAAGAGTTCCAACAACTAAAATGGATATCAAATGTAACTCAAAGAGGAAATAATAACATAATCAAGATGCTGACATTCCACACTATATTGAACAAAAGGTTAGGAAGGAAACCTCCATCAATACTGGAAAGACTGATAACAGCTACTTGGCTTGAAAAACCTATTTTCTTGAAAAACTGTTTTGAAGATTTTATAAATTTCAACTGAAAGTTGCACTGGCTGCTAGTGTCAAGAAAATTTCAACCCAAGAAAAAAATATCTGTGATGCTGCAGGCCGGGGAAATGAGAAAAGGTACTTATCTTAAGTTGCGAAAAAAATATCTACTTCCACGATGTAGCTTCTCCATCAGATAACTTGTGTAGTGTAACAAAGAGTAAAAAAAAAAAAATAAGAGGAAAAAATATTTCCTTTATAACCACTTCAGTGATCATGTGATAAAAAAATCACAAGACCTTGTAACTATGAAAAATTGGTAAAAAACAGGTAACAGCTTTTAGTCAACCAAAATAACAACCCAGGTAAGTACCTTACTCCTCCCACTTGAACCATCAATTTTTTCACACTAATCAATAAATTCAGAATGTTTCTTTATACCAAAATAGATGATATTATCATAACAATTACCATAAATGTAAGGTTATTTTTTTAGAGGTTCTGTTGTATATAATAATTAATTTGTAGGAAAATAAAATAAACTTAAACATACTTGGCATCAGTTTAGTTATTACAACAGATACTGCAGCATTTGCATTCTTTTCTCCATGTATATTTTATTTAAATAATAACAAGTTGCCTCCCTTTATTTGTGTAAGTTTGAAAGAATTTTGTAAAACCTGTCAGGCGTTCAAATCTTAAAAATATATACTTTGCATTGAAGATTATCTGAATCACAGAGAGTAAAACTATTTTTCCTTCAAATCATCTCTACGTCTGTATGAAGCACCCCCACCCAAAAAAGACATCTTTTTAAAAAAAATTATCTCACCTTTAACTGAGTTTCCAACTCAAGTAATAAGGATTCTGTGACAACAACATGTACATTCTTCTCAGATGGTGAGCGGCTCTCCCCAGAGACCCAGGATCTGAACCAAGTACGGATCCCAGACATTGCTATGCCGTGTACACTCTGTAGATCAAGAGGGTAGAGTCAGGTGTCCTTAGCAATTTGCTGGCAGTAGGCACCCCAACATATGGCACACTAGTGTATTTCCCGTTGTTTGTAGGGTGTCAGTAATTATTCAGGCATCTCAGGAGTTGAAGTTTGGCTGCAAACACATGTTGAGGGCCTGAAATTAGGAAAAATAAGATGAAAAAAAGTATCTTTTTTGGAATAAATTTTCAGGGATTTTTCGAAGGTTTTTGGCTGCTGTTTCTTTATTTTATATCAAATTGATTCCCTCCTTTTAATAAAGACTAAACACTTAAAATATCTCAGCATATGGATCAGTTATAACAAATTTAGTATAGGAGAAAAGGAAATTGAAAATAGAATAGGCTGCACCAGAGATTTCTTTCACCCAACAGTGCAAACTGATACAAAACCAGAACATTCTTAAATAGACTTTCATATGGCTGCATAATGCACTATTTACATTATTTGGTCTATTGTCCTCATCTTTGTCACCATATTCATTACAACATTTCAGCCGTTGTATGCTTCAGCCTTCTTCAGGTGGTTAGAATGTCGAACTGAATCCTGTTCTAATTCCATGTGCCATGGTTAATAGATGTCAGTTATCAGTTATCTCCTGTTAATTCACCTCTCCAAGTTCTCCACTGGCTTAACCGGGTATTGAACTCACACACTTTGGGTCCTGTCACTGGATCTAACATCTTTATCCACTGTGCCATGACATTTATGACATCTGTGTATGAATTTCTGGATATTATAAACCTAACATCTTCAGCAACCATTTTTTTCCAACCACTTGAAGAAGGCCGGAGTGTACAATGGCCGAAATGTTGCAATAAATATGGCGACAAAGATGAGGACAATAATCTGAACAATGTAAATAGTGTACATAATACCTCATCTCAGAAATATAGACAAGATATGGATGCATAGTGCCAAATCCATTCAGAAATATCTATACTATATACAACTGTTTTGTAAAATCAATAGTTAAAAATGGCTTCAACTGAATGAACTCTGTCAGTCTTAAAAAGACTAGCCTACATCAAGTCTCATAGGCTGGTGCTACAGAATCACAAATAAGGAATTTTACCAAGTAACAGAAGCCACATCACTTGAAAACTTTCGACAGTACCAACAACTAAAATGGATAGCCGATGTAACTCAAAATAATGACACAATCATAATGTTGACATTCCACATGACTTCAAACAAAAGGTTAGGAAGGAAACCTCCATCAATAATGGAAGGAGTAATAACAGCTACTGGACTTGAGAAAAATGTTTCACTGTAGAGAAATGGCTAATACTATCATTACCCTCGCCATTACAAATCGACACCACATGAATCACATCAGAACCATATTAAAATTGTTGACAAGTATAAATAAATAAATAAATAAAATGTGTCAAGGCTTTTTTTCTAGTCAGTAAAGATGTCTTGGCTAAAATACAATGTGTCCATTAACATCATGAACTGAATTTAATTTTGTTGCTGCAACAAGCTTTTTTTTCATGAAAGAAGTAAAATGATAAACAAAGAACTGTACTGAGTAAATAAGTTTGTCTATTGTCCAGTTCACACTCCTCCACAGTCTTTTGAACAGGGGTAGAGGTTTGCTCCTTGTTTTCTGTTTACAATTGGGTTTACAGTTCCTTCTAAAGTCTTTTCATTCTCATTTACTCCAAGTAGCCCCTTATGTCTTACTGGTATCATCACCTTTCTTGGAATGAATTGATTAAAAATAAAAAAAATGACAGAAGCCACACCACTTGACAATGAATGCCAAAAGTTTCTTGTAGGTAAACGGCTAATATTACCATTACAATTAGGTGCCATGCATCATGCCTGCTTGGGAGATTCAAATCTCTTTTCAATTCATGATTTACTTGAAAGAAGATTTTCCATAGTATGCTACCATTACTGGCTGAAAGTAATGTTGACTGGTTGTCAGTTGAGGCTTTAGGACCCAGTCTGTCCAGCTATTTAACCCATAGTGGGGGGAAGGAGGATATTTGTGTGTAAGTGAATGTAATAAACTCAGTTGGTATTCAAACTCATCTCTCTTATTTCTCATTCAGAGTTGTTACCCATCCTACTACCTGAACATCCAAGCTCACAGCACCTGGTATTCCTAAGTGGTCACCCATCTAGATACTGACTAGGCTCAACATTGCTTAACTTTGGTGATTGTATGAGAAACGGTGTTTCAACTTGATATGGCTATAAAGAATTAGGGATAATAATAACACTCAATTTTCCAACTGAAAGTAAACATTGTTGAAAATGTGAAAATAGCTTCTTTATCTCTCTTACGGTCACTTGTTTTACAGTTAGAAATGTGCCTTTGGATTCTTAATGAGTCAAATATTGCGTAACCTCATTGATCAAACAAGAACCTGTATTTCAACATGACATAGCCATAAGCACAAAACCGATACAATACAAAATTAATCTAATAATATAGAAATTAGAAACTTGTTTGTAAATTGGAAACATTAAAATCAAGCAAGCAGAGAAATTGTCTGAGAAGTGTTTTATGAGACAACAATATTTGACAAAGAAATATTAAAGCACACTAGGAATAGTGAAAGGTGACTTCCAAAAGCCAAACAAAGTATTAAACAAACAGAAAATTGTTCTTATGCTGAACTGTTATATAGTATGTCATCCTCTATGGCAGTGAATGATGGACAATCTCCTCAAAGAAAATAAGTGAGGTAACAGAGATATGATGCTACAGAAAGATGCTGAGAATGACATGGAGGGAGCACGTGAGCAACAAGAAAATGTAAACTAAAAATGGCACTTACAATCAGAAACTTTTGAAATTCCCAGGACACATAATGAGGAAATAAAGCTTGGAGAATTTGATACTAACAGTACACACCAAAGGCAAGATGAGCAGTAGGAACTTACCTAACGATCTTTTTTAGACAGATGCGAGAAGAGGAAATGGGAAGTATAGTTAAGAGACAAACGTTAGACTTAAAGGATAAGAAGTTAAAGAAAAATGTACTTCCCAACAGGAATTGAATCTACATACCCTTATAAACTGTACTTACTTGTTTCCACCTCTTATGCTCCTGCAACAATCTCATTAAGTAACCCTCTACCTTGAGTGTCTCTTGAACTTTATATAAAATACATATATATAATAAAAATATAAATTTTAATGTATGTACATACATGATGGCATGCCTATTGCTTTTAGGATAAAACAGTATTGATAGAGCTAACCTTGTGTCCTATATATATATATATATATATATATATATATATATATATATATATATATATATATATATATGTGTGTGTGTATGTATGATAAAATATAGTTTTAAGGTATGATATATTCATGGGTTAAAGTGCTCAATATTAGGGATAGAGCATATGTATAAAAGTGGACACCAAAGTCAAGCCACAAATAGTAATCAATACAGGAAGAACACAAATAGAAAGTTTAAAGGAATATTATTCATTTATACAAATACTGCTTAAAGTAATAGTTCTTGTTGCAAACAAACTGTTCTGTTTGTGGCTATATATTATATAATGAAACAATATAAGTCCACTTAACTGAAGTCCTTGGTGTTGTAGTAGAATGTTTTACATACTCATATTAGTACGACTCTTATGTCATAACTGCTGGCATTGAAGCAGAGATGATTTTAACGTCCTGTCTCTTGCAGATCTTGGTAGAAAAGTAAGAGAAACAGAAGGGGGAATAGCGTTCTTTGATAATTGGCGCCAACATATTCTGTCTAGTGATTGGTTGGCTTGAAAAGGTGTATTGACCAAGCAAATATGCTATACATGATCTCTAGAGAGTGCAGTTGACCAATGGAGATAACTCACTCACCTAATATATATTTTCTTTTAACACTCAACAACAACCATTTGTTTCACGCTTCAAGCCTAAAGATTGAGTTTAACCATGAAATAGACTGTTATCATAGGATGTTTTTATTGTTTTGATCTTTGTGGTATTGAGAACTTTTAAAAAAAGTAAATGCTAAGAACTGTCTGTTCTTTCTCTTTATTTGGAGATTATATATATATATATATATATAAAATATATGGAGGCGCGGTGGGGTAATGGATATCGGCTCGGATTGTGGAATCGCAGAGCCGAGTTTGAATCCAGGTTAAATCCATTACATTCACTTACGTGCTAATACCCTTGGGAAAGGTGTGAATCCTCTTCTTCTCCCTCCAGCTATGGGTTAAATAGCAGGACAGACTGGGTTCTATAGCCTTGGATGGCAACTAGTCTAGAAGGACAACTCTGAATTCAAAACCTGAGGGGGTTGTTTGGGGGCCTTGTGGCACGTAGTGCACCAGGTCTCTGTATTCGGCCCTTCAAAAAGTGTGGATGGTCCTGCATGAAGCCTTCACCACTATAATCGAATCTCATGTGCCAGTGTCGGGCTGTCAGTTTCCTGCAAACTGATCTGCTTGACCCTCATACGTCGAACCCGACGGGAGAATCGATTTTTTTTTTTTTTATATATATGTATGTGTGTGTGTGTGTGTGTGTGTGTGTGTATTGTTAAAAACTAGATATTTTGTGTCAATTATATTGAATGACCTTGTTCATAATTTTTAAATAAACCTTTGAAAATGTGTTTTTTGTGTGTAAATAAATTGGGGGAAGGGTCAACATCATCAAGGAAAGAAAATTAAGCAGGTTTTAAAAAGTAGATTGTATCATTTTACTTTTTTTGAAAGTGTCGTTATTTTTTGAAAACTAAAATGAAACAAAATTCAACTGCACACAAATTTTTACCAGATTTTTTTCTATACAACATTTCCAAAAAAGGACATGTGTACATCAGAAAAAAAGATAACAGACAAAGAATGCCTGTTGCTTTTAATTTTAACAATATATATTTAAAAGGACAATTAGTGCTGCTCAGATATAACGAATAAGAAAAAACGGAAAAGAAAGAAAGAGAAAAAGGCTAAGAAGTGAGTTAAAAAAAAAAAAAAAAAAAGTGGAGGAGAAAAAAAAAAGCAAAAAAAAAAAAAAGGGACAAATTAATAACAACACCCCAGAGCCTACACATGCGCACGAACGCATACACACTATGAAAGAAACTTTCACCAATGATAATTGCATATAAAAAAAGAAAAATCGAGAAGTAAAATTTCTGATACCCCCTGACGAGTAGACGGATCCGACTACGAAACCCTGGAGTCGGGATACCGAAGGTAACATTAGTCAACTAACTGACAAAGTTTTTTTTTTACTTATTAATTTCATTTTTTTTTTTTTTTAATACGACATTGTTGCTGGAGGGCGCATGTTTCCTTAATAAAATTTCTCGAATATTCAGACCGGAAAACGAAAAATGAAATACACTGTTTAAAAAATAAGCCACGTACGTAACGTCTGTCTATATTCAAATACTCACTGAGTCACTCACTATCCACTAAAAAAATTAAGTGATAATGTCTTGTGTGGTTAAAAAGATAGAATTTAATAAACATGAAAATTCGTTCCTTAATTATTAACCTGAAGCGATATATATTTATATTTTATTATTTTAAAACCATCATTCATAATCACAGAAATTATAGTATTGTTATTATCTAATTGGCCTTCCATAATACCAAGAAGGCGATCACAATAAAGAAGAAATCAGGTCATCCTTTTACTTCTTGCGGTGATGAACGGTACAAGGCGTATGTTTTCCCTTGTGAATAAACTTCCGTGACGTAGCCGCAGCAGGAAAGGCTTAGTCAATTTTGTTTTCTCTACTTTCATTATTGTTGTTTGTACAAATGCGACTGCGGTCAATTGAAATACAATTGAATCCCCACGACAGAAACCATTCCGTAGACATGTCGCAGCACGTGTTTCTGTGGCCAGTTCCTTTTCGCTAATAATGAATAAACGTCGAAACCGGACAACAATTATGAAGCTTTTCCTTCGTGCTTGAATAAGGGCAGAAATAAAGGACGGACAGACTCTTTTTAAAAAAAATTTTTTTAGTTCAATAGTAAAAGCAATGGGCAAAGAGCTGAAATCTATTAAAAAGCCAACAGGGAATTTATACAAATGAAAAAGTATGTGTGGGTTGGGGAGGTAAAGAAGCTTAAAATAAAAAATTTGCGACGCGACATTTTCGGTAAATTGAACTTTTTTTTTTTTCCTTTTTGTTACAACGTTTCGGTTCATTCATTCTACCTACAACCTTCTTTCAGTTGGCAGGACGACCGAGTTGTTTTTTTGACTAAACATTTTTAATTTTTAAACTAAACAACTTGAAGTTACTTTCTCACAATGTTTCGGGGGTTAGATTGTTCCTCTTCCACTGTCCATTATTATTGTCTATCGTCTTCGTCTTTTATTATTGCTCACTTTACCCACCCTGTTCTCACTTTGTCTGTACTAACCGGCTGAGGAATTGAACTCACAATTAATTAATTTAATATGCCACCGCCAACAACCAACGCTTAATCCACTTTACACGACTGTTAGTTACTTTTTGAAGTGTAAATGGCAATGATAACTCTCTTTTCGTCGTCGTAGAAATTCTAATTCAGAAAAAAAAACTTTGAGGTTTAAATATAAATTTTGTTTGAAAATAGAAAAAAATAGTCTTAAAAAAATATGCACGCCCGTTGCCATGGTGATGAGCTGCCCGAGGAAATCACCCCCCAACTTCAATGAAAAGGACTTAAAAACTGCCCCCACTACTCAAAAGACTCTGGACCTGCCCAAATGGAAGGCAACACTTTCGTTTGTACAACTGAAGAAGATCGCAGAATGGATCGGCTGAAATGTTATGAAAACAGCAAAAAATAACCTTAAAAAACAAAAGGAGTTCAGTTGTCGGAAATTTTTTTTGAATGTGAACTGAACGATAACAATGATTGTTCTCAAAAATTATAGACAATATCTTTTGGACTTTGGGGTTCAATCATAAAATCAAAACATTTTCTTTTCACGTAAGAAAATAAAACATTTACTTAATTTTAATATTAATATTTACTTAGTTACCTCTGAGTCGGCATTTCCCGATTCTGGGATTGAACTCACAATTATTATGTCATCAAATTCACAAATCAACCCTTCCTTTTTAGACTCTAGTAATGGATTTAAAACTTTTAAAAAAAGTAACGTTTTCAAATCAACTTGTGGATTAAAAAGGAAATCACTGGTTCCTGAATTTAGTAGTGAGTTCAGTTCCTGGGTCGGGCAATGTGTACACGGTGG